CCCAAGAAATGGGGTCAGGTAAGCTGACATTGCACTGAATATGCATAGCATCTTGTGAATAGTATGATTACAACGTTTATCAACATGTTCGGGTATGCATGCATCAATTATTAGCAGCTCAAGCTTTTGTTGAGGAGTTGCTTTTTAAATAGTTCCGATTTAGGGGATCTCGTAGAAAGATACCACCCCGAAATGATATAAATGCAAATATATTCACATTCACAGATAAAAGATGTAATCCACATTCAAGATCTCGCAACAGGTAAAGAATTCGATTATTGTTTTTGATCCTGAAGGGCATGGACTCTCAAACGGGAGTATCTCGTGATCCAAATTCTGTGTTACTCCCTTTAGTTATTGAATATGAAGATTATTTTGTATATTGATGGTGGACCTACGAACGAAAAACGGAAAAGAAAAATCGTCCCATATTTTTCGGAAAATTTTTGAGTGGTAGAGGAGTGGGGGTGGGAGGAAGGCTGCAGGGAGTAAGGAAGGGTATGTTTCAATTATTTGGCGTTATTATATTTATACGCCTCTAATGGTGGTAATTCTACTTGAGTAACTATTAGACAAATTTCAGATATATGTTTCTCCGCATATTTGCCCTAGAGACTAAGTGATATAAATCTTCCCAATACCCGTGCTGATCTGACATTATTTTGGTTGCATCCGATGAGTGCGCGCCACGAAGACAGATAACGAACCAGTCGCGTACTGGTTATTGCTGAGACTTAGACCCGTATCGTCAGTCGTTCCTACAATTGTAGGGGGCCTTTATGGCCTCCTTGATTGTCATAGTTTTCTACTTCTCCGTGTCAGCGCTCTATTTTGAGGTTATGTCACAAACATCTATTTGCATCAAATTGGGCTTGCTTTTGAGTTATATCATGTTTTATCAGGCTGAAATTTCCTACAATTTAAAAAGAAAACATATCTTCACATTAGGAAAGCGCTGACGCTGACACGGGACAAGTGTAATCTAGAAATTTTTGATGAAGAGAAAGGGATATGACAATCAAGGAGGCCATAAACGCGCCCTACATTTCTAGGGACGACTGTCGATACGGGCCTTAGTCATCGCAAGTGTGATTAGCTCGCAATAATCATTTATGAACTGATGACAGTGTTGCGTGGGAAGTGCAGCGTCATCCTACTTGACACCATTTTTTGGGATTTATTGGAATTTGAATATGATGCTTTCTCTTCGTCTATTGCTATGTTTTCTACTGTTTTAAGATTCGTTAATAAAGTTTCCCAAACATTATTAGTATTGACATTGTTTTTAACCATTACATACGAATATAAATTACTAATACTATTCCGATAAACGTCCTTCATCTGTTATCTGTTTACCTTCCGTGTGTTAAGAAATGCCGATTCTGATCAAGCACCGCTAGATAAAAGGCCAGGAAATTAGAAATTTTACATCAGTTTCTAACAAAATGGTAGATAAGGTATTTTTGTCGGTTTTAATCAGTGTACTGATCTTTTGTTCCTTGCTACATGATGTGTCGCTTACACTTTCTATTTCAAATAATTCTCATAACGTCATACAGTGCCCAGACCCCATAACATCGTAAGTATTTGATTATGATGGCAACAGAAATAAAAAAACATATCAAGACATACACACGTCTTGTGAGTATGTTTTACGTAAGTTGTATATCATTGAATAAACAAAAAGAATCTATTTTTGCGCGTATATTACGGGAGTAGTCAAAAGCCATTTTAGGCGACACAGAGTTTTAAAATATACATTGCATAATGTTTCCTCTTATTTTGTCAATGACAATCCCGATTATGCTCTATGGAACCCCTATCCATAAAAGCGCTTTAAGGCGGCTCCGACGCAGTGACTTTCAAGCCATATACAAGGGTTCGGCTGCTTCAAAACTGACACTCCATTTTTTCCCAGGGTGCTATAGGAGTACTTTTTGAAATTTTGTTTTTGCACAAGTTTTATGATGGGTTGAAGTGCACACTTTTTCTTTTCAACTTCGCGATTTTTTTAAAAAGAACCTAGTAAAAAAAATGAAAAAGTGACTTAATAGCACCCTGTGGGGTTTTGTTTTCAGCACTCTGTGAAAATTTCACCCAAAAATATCAAAAAATAAAGCGTCAATTTTGAAGCGGCCAAACCTCTACAAATCGTATTTTGACGAATTTTGTCTACTGTTCCGTGCTGCCAAACCAAGCGTTGCGGCGCAATGTACGGACTAAGAAAGGGCGTATTCAGATAATTTGGTGGCACTATTTCATATAATATATGCTAGGCAGCAGCGGTGGCCACAGTAGTAGACTCTTCGGTCTCCTGATCAGTCGCCGTGCGCTGTGCGGGTTCGAGTCCCGTCCCAGGAGAAATTTTTCTCTTGGCTATGGATGTTGTAATTGTCCGTAGGTGGTAGACGGTCTCTGCCTGTCGAACGCGGAGGTACCACCCGGCGGATCTCGTAGGCGGAGCCAGAATGTGTGCATATTGCATGCACACGTGTTCCCTCGCCAGAGTCCGTGTGGCGTTCCCCCTTTCTCATATATCTCCCTATAGCCGCACGGTACCCAATGGGTACTTAGGCCTTAGGTCTTCGTGGTAGTTGGAGTATAAAAAAAAATATCGCGTAGATAAGTCGTTCTGCAAATAGGTACTGATACTCCTCGATTTTAAAGCCGTTTTACTTATGTTTTTTTAAGTCATATGACATCTACATCACGAAAAACTGTGTCACTCATCATCAACTTGGAAATTACCGATCGGATTTTTATGAAATTTTCACACGCGGTTACTAGTATGACAAAGCTTTGTAGTTTTAGTCCAATGGCAACGGTGCTATAGGCAAAAAAGAACAAGTAACAATTGCTGAAACTCCGCTTTTGACGTTTCAGGGGTTCCTAATCATTGACATAAAAAACTGTACTGCTTAAAAGGGGGGGGGGGGTGGTTGAAATCAGTGAAACACGTTCTATTACTAAGTAGCTTCTGATCCCACTGTAATAGGTAGATGGAGGTGATGCTGCCAGAAATGGATGTGTGCGATCAATAAACAAATCACAAGATTGAACTGCCGCGACCAATGATTTTTGTATTGCCTTTTTTTATTGGCTTACTAGAAATTTCTGTTGGGTATATGATCGAGTTTACTAGAACTTTAAAGATTGTTGTGTGCCTTCTTCTACAAACTTCACCAAATCGAGACGCTGTCAACCTTATCCTCCGATGAAGACGCCACAAAGCACAGTCCTGTGATTTGGTGACCTGTTCGATATGCAAAATCTCGTCGTCACTTCTTCTGTTTCCCTAAAAATTCTTGCTTAGCAACCTCCAAATCAATGTCGTTCATGTCAGGTTTTTGACAGAATTCGCCATAAAACTATTATATATTTTCTTTGGAATTGCTATCCGCATTGTTAGATATTTTTATATCAAGCTTTTTTGGTCTGAGTTTCTTTCCACGATTCTTGCGTTTGAGTCTTTGTTCCATCATAGTGATAAGCGACGTTGGACTAAGCTTAGAAGGCAAATGTATTTGGACCACATAGACAGGCCGCTCGATATTGTGGTTCACTACAGCTGCAGCACATCTTCCATGGTATGACCTCTTCTTGCAATAATTTATTCGCTTACTCCAATGTATTTTGCGATTATAGAGTTGAACTGTTCCACACTATTGTTGTCCTCATCGTGAATTAAACTCACTGAATTCGTAATTAAAATTGTCGCATATGACCCTTTATTGTCCATTATCAACCTTGATAAAAAATTCACTCAAGAACAGTCATACCAACAAGAGTTCAACACAACAATTCAACAACACAACATCGACGAACAGTAACAAGTGTAGAACAATACTAAATGATCAATAGCTGAGTACCAAATCAGGAAACGATTTACAGGCTAGATCGCTAATCGAAATCCGACTCTGTTATTATAAAAATTTACCTCGGTAGGACCCGCAGTCATCCTTTACTCCACCGTCTAAGACCAGCCCACAATCGTTTCCTTTTCACCCCCCCGTTACCTCAGCAGATGGTGCTCATGATTGTAGGAACCCCGTTAAGGAAGATGAAATGTTTGTTGCGTAATAAGCAATTCAATGTATAAAAACGCCAAGTTTGAGAGCCTGCTAGTACGCTATAGTGAGAATTTACAATTCTATTTAAGATGGGGCTCAGCTGCCATATAGAATTTCTCAACTGTTAATTTTACGTGAGTAGGGAGGCCGAGGGTCGAAGTTCCGATTTTGGTGTAGGACCTAGTATGAAGGTAATAAACATATTTGTAATTCACGATTCCTATGTAAATAGATGCAGAATTCATCCTACCTTCATATTTTAAAAACGAATTTATTGGAATGAATTGTTTTGGCTCAGGATCCATTTTCTGTAAAAGTCGACTAGGAACAACACAGAGAAGTTGTTCCGCTGTCAACCTCAGTCATTAATTAAATAATATTATTTGATGAAGTCTGTATGAAACAAATGAGACTTACGCGTAACAAATTATTCATTATTATTAATCAAAGGACTCGGACGAACATAACGTATATTTCAAGAATTTGAATGAGACCAACTATTACTCCTAACAAGTTCAATCCATTGTTCCCCTGGTTTTGAATTGGAAAATGAGTCGCAACATATCAAACAATACCATCACAGGCTGGCTTCTTAACTATCGCTTTCATCACTGTCTTGCAGGACTTTCTGGTTCACGTTTTCTTTACCAGTTGAACTCATCTTGCAGACTCTTTTTTCAATTCTCTTTCCCTTTATTTTGATATTGACTCTTCCTCGTTTTGCTTTTTCTTCAGTTAAAGCGTACCTTTCAGACGTTTCTGACAGTATTGCAGATTTTCTAATTCTGCGCTTAGATGATCTTCGTGGTGCTTTTGGTAAGGGTTTGATGGCTCCAGGGAAAAATATGAGAGATGTTACTTGATTAACATTCTTTGGAAAGTCAGTAATGTTCGAATGTCCAGGTTGGTGTTCGCTAGTCATTGATCCTGTTATTGCTGGACGTGGCTCAATACCTGGGATGGGGCTTCCATTTTATAATCCAACTGATGCAATTCAGGGTGTGCTATTTCTTGGAGCCGTGATTCTGCATTATGACTGAAGTCCAATAGTGATATATTAGTGTCGAGCTTAGGTCGGTCAGTCACGAAATCTTCATCTGTAAATATGCCAGGGTTGTATGGAATTATGGCTGCCTTTTTTAATGCGTTCATTATGTTATTTGGGGTCGCTGCTAAAGCCATACATGCTTTACATTTCCAGGTATCTCATAGATAGATGGTGTCTTGCCTGGGTTATTGCGTAGCCAATTTTCTTGAGCACAATATGTTTTAGTTAATTTGAAGATCAAAGCCTATGATCCGTATCAACAGTGACCATTCAGAAAGCGTTTTAGTCATACTGCATCGAACATTGTCCAATCGGAGAGAACCCTTTGATTCCTGCCCGAATCGTGTAGCAAATCTGATATAATGCCTAGATTGATTGACATTAATTACTAATCACGTTATTGAAAAGAACAGTATTTTACCTACCTGAGACATATTAGAGAAAATGACATATTTTTAAAAATTCATCAATGTGTCGATTGTCGATTAAATTGTCATCTAATGTAATTGGTAGACATATGAACCACTGTTTAGCAAACATATCTTCTCCGAGTCAGTGATATTGAGTATTTCAGTATTAATATGACGTATATACTTTTCTTGGAAAACAGCAATAACACAGGAATATTTTTATTATATTTGAAACCAGCCTTGCATCAGTTAGCTGGCTAGCCACAGAACTGTCTATTGCTACCACATCAAATTTTTCATCGAACAGTCATGAGGAAGAAATCGCAGTAGATCTACAAAATTAACATTTGAGTGGCCATATCACACTTCTTTTCGACTCTTTTAATTAAATTGAAAAATAAATGTTACGGGGTTCAACTACTATGTGTTAAAATAAAAAAACATTTGTGTGTTAATACATATTATTCATGTTTACCGTTATTAGCTTGATAGCACTACAAATGTATCAACTGTCAATAATAGAGGGAAAACGAATACTAGAGATGGGGCAGGGAAGATGCATTCGCAAATATTCATAAGTGTGATTAATATGATAACCAATGCATTAACACAGTAATCACACCGAAACTTGCCATCTTAACCAGTTATAAGCATGAAAGAAACCTGCGGTTGTTGTACGAAGATCAAGTTTGACAGTTCGATCTCACGATGTATGAAAAATGACATCTCGCTCCTGGAAGTGTTTAGTTTTAAGGCTTTTTTTATATGTATAACAGGGTAAGTGCAGCCATCTAGCTGCCGCGTTATGTTTGGTTGTCATTTTGAGAGGTGCTTTCCGTATACAGGTCTTTAATTTTATCATTCACCTGTAAATGGCGTTACTTGGATTGCCTTATGTAAACTGAAGTTATAGGTGGCGCTAAATTACCATGTAATAACATGGAGTAGATTTTGTAAAACCCGCGAAGCATGCTCTAAGCAAATTTGGTCTGCTATTTTTCCTAAGCACTTAAGTTGTCCCCAGAGAATAAAGTGCATATTAATAAATTCTGACACCATTGGCTTATATTATATGGTCCTTCGAGAAATCAAAACATAACTAAAGAGGGAATCAGGATATCCAAGTTTCTGAGGCAAATAAAGAACTGGAACCCAGCCGCACCAGTGGGTGGAGGAAAATTCTTCTATTAAGATTGTTTTCATCTGATCGTCTGTGTATAGGTATAATGGGTTCAAATTTATTGATAATTGTGACGAATAGCGCGCTATACTCCCAAATTTTGACGAGTGTGGAATACCTATGTTGTACAAAATAAAACGGGCCTGCTGGCGAGGGTAAATTTAACATTAATGTCATTGACCTTCATGTGGCAAAATCACGTAACCTTTTTTTTACTATTTATCACTTATCCGTAATTTGAATTTCTCTTCATTGATAACAGAGTGCCCATTCCTAGGCCTTTTCAATGATTTTCTTCTGGAAAATTTAATAGTTTATTGATTGTATAATTTCACTCGTATTATATCTTTCTTTCTCAGCGATTCAGTATGGTGTTGACGATCAGCAAAAAAGTCTGTAGGTTTTCTCCGTTAGTTGGTTCTGTTTCCGTTGAGGTCGTGGTGCAGAGGTCATTTCATCATTTCCGGGCTCTGGGATATTAGGCCCCAAGCGCCAATTCATGGATAGCACCCCTTTTTTGTGTAACTTAAGTTTAGTCATTTTGGTTTGGGTGCTACGTCTTTCATTTTTTTATGGGATTTGGACCCTCAGCGGTGAGTCCTTTTTTATATATCTTCGGACCACGTGCCTTAATGCGTGTCCTGATGACGTTCGTTCAATATCTGCTTTCTTTTAGTCAATAGAAATAGAAGAGAATCATCATCCTTTCTCCTCCAGTTGGTTGCATCTTGTTGCAGTTTTGCAAATTGGTGGAAGCCATCCCCTTGGAAAAAAACCTGATGTGGACAGGTAAAATATCATTCTAATTAACAATTTCATAGATCTCTGTACATTTATTATTGCTTATTGAAATTCTTAGAGACTTCTTAATTTTATTGGACATTCTACGTATTCAAATATGGGGGCAGCGACCTTCTATTACATTGATCATGATTTTGATTTTTGAGCTGCCATAACTTTTTAGAACAGCTGTATATTAGTTTAGTACGTTTTTATCTTTTTTTATGCCTTTGCCTTACTTTTCTTGTACAAAAAAATGTACATGGTTTTGCTTCAAGAGTGATTGTTTTCAATGAGTAGTTTTATCTCAGACAGAGAGTAGTGTAGATTTTTAAACAGTCTTTCTCTCGCTAGGGTTTTTTTTGTTACTACCACAATTTTTGGCAATGAGGCAAGCAGCCCCTGCCCAGTGACGTGCCCACTACTGGTCACTTTTTGACCAGAGTTGAGGACATCTCGGCCGCGCCTGACAAAGAGGACCTACTATATCGTGATATTTAGGCGCAACATATCGGTAAATACTTTCGAGCGTATACCATGGTAGACGTTTCTCGAAAAATAATTTTGTCAGGTATTTAAGATTTATAACATCCTTTTTTTTTATTACTCGCACTCCAGTAGTGGAGCAAATGTGCGTTTTTTTTTTCTTAGTCAATATATTGTGATTCATTTAATATCTTGTTTTATTTGGCTCTCTCTGTGTGTACTGTTACTTAAATTTCGTCGTCTCTGTTAGATTTTGTTTTGTGCGGTGGTCAAGCAAAACAAGTTACGACTAACATCTCGGGGAGTTGTGGCTTAATCCGTCCTAAGTCACTGGCGCTCTTAAGCCCCCCCCTACTCTCCGCTTTGTTGAGCTAGTGACTAAAGTTGCACGCCACTAGACAACTGCTTTGCTTGTACCAACCGTTAGATAGTATTTGTCATTGTGTTTTATTAAAAATCAAAAAAAGGCGTTGCAGTGTGCTTATGATAATTGTTTTCAGTTGACCAATTTTCCACGCAGTTTTACGAAAAAGCTTTCTAATTGGTAGTTGTTGATACGGATCATAGGTTTTGATATCCGGATCAACTGGAGAAATATATTTTTGTAACAAAACCAGGTGATTGATAAAGAATATTGATTTAATAGGACGATTAGAGGCCCTTGTTACACTTATTTGATCCATTTCTACAAAGACGCCTTCTCATTGGTCTATTTTGATCCGATACAAGAATTTTGAACCCGCGGATCTATAGTAAAATCGAGGCTTATAGTAGATTCGTATTCTAAATAAACACCTCGTAAGTCACTACGTTTTTTCTCCTTCAAGTAATACCACCAATCAAAATAATAGACGTTCACTACAAAGACATCCACATGCACTATTAGACGCAACGGCGGGTGCTTGTATGAATCGTTTCAAAAACAGTACCAGATTGTGTGATACTATAATGAAAGTGACGCCCCTGCTTCCGATATATTCACGTAAGGTTTTTGTTGCAGGCTTAGGCCTCTATACCAAAGTAACGTTTTTGAAGAAGGCAGCTTCTTGAAGCGAAAGATACGCAGATTTGTCTTTCCCGTGGCTGGACTTAACAAATGTAAAATAACATGTTTGAAAGTAAGTATTCTTCAACATCATTGATCAACGTATTCTACTAACAGATTGCCAAATTAATGCTATATTCTGGCACCCAAGAAATTATCTGAGATACAATTAAATACTGTTTCTATGAGAATTTGTCACAGCTGCTTCTTTATTAACTACCTACATAATTATACTTTGAAAAATTTTGTATCCCGTAAGTGGCGCTGCCGATATCGTCGTCGTGCTAATACGGTTGACTGCAGCGCCATCTACAAAGCACTAACCCATTCAAAGTATATATAGTAAATAGACAAACAGCTGTGACAAATTCTTATAGATGACGCTAGGGCATCCTTACCATATTTTAAGCGTACAGGTATTACTTCCCACTGATTTTCCAAGGAGTGTGACCTTTTGTCAGTGGTATCTTCAAAAAATTGCACAAAATCCGCAATTTGAATTAATGAATCTGTTCACGGACGAAGCTAATTTTTCTCGAAATGCCATCCACAATAATCATTTGTGTGCAGAAGAAAATCCCTATGCCGTAACCGAAGCCCATTTCCAACTCCAATCTTCGGTTAACGTATGGGCAGGAACTATTGGCAACCACTTTATTGGTCCATTCTTCTTGCCGGGACGACTTGACGGACATACTTACCTCAATTTTCTTCAACAACACTTGCCTTTGCTGCTTGATGATGCTCCGTTAGTAATAAGAAACAATATGAGGTAAATGCATGATGGTGCACTAGCGCATTTCAGTGTAGCGGTTCGTAATTATTTACAAACTGTTCATCCAGATAGTAGGATTGGCTGCGGTGGGCCCCAAGAATGGCCAGCAAGGTCACCAGGCCTCAACAGTTTAGATTTCTTTTTGTGGGGCTATCTTAAGACACTAGTGTACGCAAGTCCCATTAACACTGTGAAGGAATTAAGAGAAAGAATAGTTGCAGCTTGTGATAGAATAAAAAACACTCCAGGGATATTTCAACGAGTGCGCAATTCCATAAGAAGCAGGGCGGAAGCATACATACTAAGCGAAGGGGGCCATTTTCAACAATTTTTGTAATCATTTCGTTGGCTTTAATGTTACTTTATGTTGTCA